TAAACGTGTGATAGTGAACGTTTTGTGGTTAGGAGTAAAGTTATACGCACTGACCCTAACTTGGAAAGTGTATATCTTCCCGACCATATCTGCAATGAACTCAGGCAGATGGGTCTCTTCTGGGTTTACACCATCTACAGCCTGTTTCACAAATAATTTAGTTTGATATATGGCAATTCTAAAATATAAACAGGAAGTATAGTGTGTGATTACCAGCATCTGCGCTACATTTGATGTATTGACTTTTATCAAAAATATAATTTTGTATAATTTTTTTGTTATTTGGTTGTGAGTGTGAATCGATTAGTATTGTCTACACATAATTTCAATTATATAACTAAAAATGACATGTGAACATGTTCAGTTTTCTCACCGATTTGATTCAGAGTTGCAAGATTTCATTGAGTTGAGATTATAAAAGAAAAGATGGTTTAGTTTTCTTATATAGATAGAAGTATTGTATAACCTTGTATTATTATTTTTCCTGTAGAAAGAATTTGCAATAATAGATATTATGTTTTACATTTTGGAATGGGAACCACATAGATATTGTATAGTTACATTTATTATTTTTAAAAATTTTAAATGTGGATTTGTTTTGTTACACAAAATTTTTAATTGAGATAAACGAAAATATAATTATGTAGATAACAGGTATAGTTGCAGAACATAGTTCTATACATAAGTGATGTTATAGACTTCAATATCAATGAATTTCTGACCTTAGAACAAATACACAAAAAAATATATTGCTTATGCTATTTGGCGGTACATAGTTTCACTTTTGGAATTCGTTTTACTTCTGAAATAAGAGCATTCATGAGGCCACTTTTAAATTGTACCAGAATAGCTAGCATGCTTCAAACATCTATATTTTGTACTTGTTACTAATTTCGGCCCCATTAATATTTCTATTCTTATAATTTGCACATCATTTAGTGTAAACACATGTATTTGGTAGCTGTAGATTATAGTTTATTCAAGTTGTTGAGATGGAACACTGGACCATCACATCGTCAGTCTCGTTCACGACTCGTAATGCTTTGGATCTCAACACTCCCCCATGCCCTTGCAAACCACATTGGAATAATTATTATTTTCTTCGAGCTTATAGGAGGAATTAGCCGCTTTGCTTTTAGGAATGGTTGCTTCTCCAGATTATGGCTGTGACGCTCAAGAAACAGTTTAGCCTTATTTCTGAAATATCTCACGCCAACAACTTAGCCTTCTGCATCAACATAGAGAGAGCATGAAATGGAGTGTCACATGAGCTTAGTTTAATGTGAAATTAATTAGTATCTGAGCAGAAGAGAAGCTGGCTGCTTACATTTCTCACTTTGGTGTCTCTGACATACAAACCAGTGTGACCAATATAAATTTCACATACGTATTAGTCAAGCAACTGTACCTACATGAGAATATCACATGAAATGAGTGGCATCAGAGACAGAAAGAGTAAATGTACTGTTCAAACTAATTAGTGCTTACACTTTGTAGTTCACTGCAGGTCCAACAAATGCCTCTTCAATTTCGCAGTAGCCATTTTTGGAATGTTTATTGCATATACAAATTGACACATTTCCAAAGAGAAAGAGGACATTACACTCTAGTCTTTGTACATGCAAAAGTAGTATAGTGTAAAGAGAAATCAAGAGAGACAAAAACCAAAACGGGGAAAAAATTAGTGCTGCTCATTTGAAGAAACAAACACTCACACAAAGATAAAAGCAAAATACATGTTTTGGATAAATGAAGGAACTCACTCTTCAAGGATGTTGAGGGAGCAATGATCGAAGTGGTGGAAGTCAAGCCATCACCAACATCTGTGTAGTGTAGCTATGTAAATTTAAGTGTTCTGTTTGTGGAGCCAAGTCAGAGAAAATGAAACTACAAATCAAAGAAACAATGGGAGAGTGAAGGTTTGCTTTGACCTGCGACTGATAGAGATGCAAACGATCAACGTTAACATCTTTTTCCCTTTGCAGGTTTTTAAGCATTAAACTGAAGTAAATATAACATGGTTAGACCTTAAAGAACAAAGCAAACCTTTAACTATTAACTTGGTTTCGTGTCTTTACTTTAAGATTCCTTTCCAGCAAAAGCTTTTACAAATGTGTTCTCATAATGGGTAAGCCTAGTTGGTTAGACACAAATCTTGAGGACCAAAATAACTATAACATGGTCAGTTCCCTTTGAAACAAAGAAAACGTATAGATGGAGATAGTATTGTGTCCTTCGTTTACTTGGAAAAGATACCTCTCCTGCAAAATCTTAAGAAAATATGCACAATGCAAACACTGTTCTAGTAATGGGTGAACCTAATTTTGAAAGACACAAAACATAAATATATGAATAAACATGAATTTGGTTCTTTGAAGACGTTAGTGGTGGCACAACCACTCTTCCTGCAAAAATATAGGGGAGATTTAATTAGTAAAATTGTCAAGTGAGTCGTACCTATTGAAAGTCTACTTTACTGTTTCAGGGTTCCAATTCTTTGTCTGTCACAACCTCCGTCGCATCCATTCCCGAAAACCCTCACTCCACTGTTGATTCCACAGGAATTGTCTTAACCTGTTAATCAAATTCGTTTTAACACATGAAGGATCTTCGATATGAATGTGAATAGCCATTATAATGAAAAATTAGTGTTATAATTAAGGAGTTGTGAGAATGATGCTTCAGGGGATGAAGACTAAACCTTTTTATAGGTAAAAATCCACCGTCTGAAGAGAAAGAAGCCTTGTATGATTAATTGTGCCTGTAGTGAATCGAATAAGTTATGGTTATTAATGGCGGAGGGGAAGAATATGAAACGAAACCACACGAATGAATCCCAACCCAATGATTCCTCACAAATATTCATCTTACACAACCTCATGAAACTTCATCTTCAGTTAAGTTAGGCAGAGCTTGAAGAAGAGTATGAACCCTGTAGTCAGCACTCGAAAGAGAAGAAGAGCCGTTAACGCCCCTCTGAATCTGGGATGGGCTTTCGTTTTTAACAACCCAAAATATTGGGAAAAAATCCCAAAATATGTGAATTCGTAAGCCCATAAAGAATCAAAGACACGTGGAAGGCTCTTATGTTTCTAATTAGTGACGTGGCTCTCCCAAAAGAGGGATAACCCTACTTTATATATATAGATTTACGCGTGGCTTATGTACATACATTTTATGTGTATTTGTACCCACTAGTTCGTTTGAAATTGAACCAGTCTTTATTTTGTCAACATTTCAGAAATTGAATCAGTCTTGTTATCCTATTTAATTTTGTTATTAGAATTAATTTTTATCTGGACTTATTTAATAAGTACTCCCTCCGTTTCATATTAAGTGTCGTTGTAGAGAATTTTTTGTGTTACAAAATAAGTGTTGTTTTCGGTTCTCAATGCAAAATTTATTAATTTTATTATGTAATGTGTTTTTCTATTGGTTAAAATATGGTTAGGTGTATGGGTAATTGTGTTTTTATATAGGAAATATGTAAAATTAATTGTTTCCTTAATCCGTGTGCACAGCTGTAGAGTGACACTTATAATGAAACAGAGGGAGTAATATTTAATTTTAAGCAAATAAAAGAATTAAATCTCGAAAAATGAGTTATCTATTAATTTAATGAGATACAGGAAATGTAAAAGAAATGTTTCACTTTGTCTCGAAATCTTGGCTACGGACCTGCAACATTCCCGGTCTGATATGAGAACATACTTTTTGGAAATGAAAATTTTTCTTTACCAAATTGTTTTCCAGAATTTATTATTATTAATCATAGTCATGTATATTTAGTATGTATATGAAATTAAACTTTATTTCTAAAACTTATATCACATAAGTTAGTTATATTGTAAATCTCAAATTAATTAATATTCTCTCCTTATTTGAAAATTTCATGTTTTAGAACTTATATACATATTGATTAAAATTAATACATAATTAATAATTTTTTTAGCTTTAGTTTTAAATTTTATAAGTTTATGGCTGCTTTCCAATACAATTATATTACTCATATTTTTACTTTTATTTTAAAAATATAATACATTAATTAAAATCCAAAACATCAATCTTTCAAATGCAAAAATAAAATCCAAAATATCATGCTTTAACATACGTTATGTATTTTTCAAACCTCTTGAACCAATGAACCTACCAAATGAAAATGTTGTCATTTTGTTTCTAAATGATTGCCTATGATTTCTTCTAATTCTATAAAAAAATATTTTTTTTTTTGCCTTCCAATAAAATTATATCACTCATATTTAAAATTTTAGGTTAAAATTAAAATACATTAATTAAAGTCTAAAACATCAATCTTTCAAATACAAAAAAAATACAAAACATCATGCTTTTAAATACGTCTGGAATATATATTTCAAACCTCTTGAACCAATGAACCGACCTACCTAATGAAAATGTTCGCATTTTGTTGCTAAAATGACTGTCTATGGTTTTTGTAATTCTACAAATTTTGATTTTATAGGTTCTTAAACTAATGTAACATTTTGAAGAAGAAAATATCGCAAGAAAAATGTTATAGATCTTTATCCAAACCTGTCATATATAATTTATGAAACAATATATATATACGTTGTTTTAAATAGTTATTTCCGGAAATAAAACTACTAATGAGATCAAATAAAACGTAGTTAATAATAATAACAGAAAATAGTTAATCATCTGCTCAACAAACCGAATATCCAATGACTATGAGAGTCATCTCACGGATAAGATTTGCCAAATGAAATAGTCAGAAAGAAATAGATAACATTTTATTTGAAGTCCAAAAAAATGAAAAAAAAAAGTTAATTTCTATAGAAGTGTCAACAACATATAGATATAGTGTGTAGATATAGAAAGTAAAGTCGGGTCCACACTCAATGCCCCATTATGATGACATCATCAATAAGACCCAAAGAGAAGACTTGAGTACTCTCTACGTTTCCGTCTCCTATATAATAAACCCTTTCCTTCTTCTCCTCTTCTTATTACTGTTCTCTAATCTAATCTAATCTCACCTTTCTTACAAAAACCTAAAACCTTTCTCTTATTACACAAACCTAAAACTCCCTTATTTCTGAAAATGTCGGAAGAGTTCGACGAATCTGAGATCATTTTCTCCGACAATTACTTCCCAATTCGTCGGAACGATGACGTTATCGAGAAAGAGAACCGTCCCGTTGAGTTCCGAGAAAACTCCGAAAATAGAATGAGAAACACATATAGGCGGAGTAAAACGACGCCGTTGCCTTCACCGTCGTTTTTCTCGACGTCGCTTCCGGTGAATATTCCGGGAATGAAGTATTCTGAGGATGAGGAATATTCAGAAGAGGGAGGAAGAAAAATGATTCCGCCGCATCTGATCGTTGGACGGAGGATGGAAAGAGGTCAAATGGCGTTTTCCGTTTGTACAGGTAACGGGAGGACTCTCAAAGGACGAGATCTGAGACGGGTTCGTAATTCGGTTCTCAGGTTAACCGGTTTTTTGGAGGTTTGAATATGAACCGGTTTTGGATTTATTTAATTTTTCGTCTTCCAAATTTTTATTATTTAGCGGAAGAAATTCAGTTGTCTGATATTGTTTTTAGTTTAATCACTTGAGTGGATGTCAAAAGGAAAATGTCAAAAGAAAAAAGAACATTTAATTCCTTGTTTGTTTAGTTAAATTCTTAGTTTTGATTTCTCTCAAATGTAATAGAAAAACAGAAAAAGTTTCAAGTTACTTCTTTTTGGTCAGTCTCAGATTATTTATGATAATAATGGTTTTAGTTGTGTTTTGCAAAAAAAAAAAATGAAATTGTTCATCAACAACTGGTTTTAGTCAATTCCAAAAGTTTCGATAAAATTGGAGTAAAAAATTTAGCATGATCCATATGTAAATAAAATGTAAACAAGTATTATGAAGATCTATGCAAAATTGGAATATCCACGAATCAATGAAGTTGAGAACAAAAGACGAACAGAGCCAGCTGTTTCTATTGACTGAGAGAGAACAAAGTCACGTTTCTTGCCGGTGACATCAACGCGAGAAATATGCATATGTTAATTAACGGCCAAATGCATAAACGCATCATTTATGTTTAATTGACGCAGTTCAATAACATACAAATTTAATAATTTATTTGTGAAAGAAAATAATACGACAAACTAATATGCAAAAATACGCGTGTTTGAGAGCAACATGGTCAAGGTTAACCTAAAAAAATGATATGGTCAAATAAGTTACCTAGTTCTATCTTCTGCTCTTACCCCAGATGAAAAGTGGAATGGAAATCAATTAGTCAAACCTTTCTTATTTTTAATTTATAACGCATATGGAGATATTTAAATTAAGATCTCGGCGTAATCAATTTTCTTAGCAGCCATCCCTTTGGAATATAAGGGACCTCGTGAATATACTTTGACAAGATTATAAGCCAACGGCACATGCATGCATATAGCCATGTTCTTATCCATTAACATTTTTACTAACTGAATTGTTTAATGAACAATACTATAATATATCTTTGACAGTTAAGCTTGTTTTTCACATTCGAATTCCAATATTATATAGATGTCTTATACTTTCAACGTTCAATGTACAAATTCAAAACTTACATGCCTGAACTTAGATTAGGCAGCTCTTTTTCTGACTGTCATTTTATTTACCACTCGTTCTTATTTAAATACATTATAAAAACCCGACAAGGAAATAATGATTCATTATAATTGCACAAAATTCAACTTGCATGTCCCTTACCAAAGAAGAAACGACCAAGAAGGTTTTGATGCAATCATAGCATGATAACAAAATGTATACTTTACTCCCAATATATATCTTTTTCTCTGCTTTGTATTTACCACAGTGTAATTTGCATATCAAACCAAAGTCATACCATGTTGGTCATCTAAAAAAATGTATTTATGCGTAAGTAGAACAACAATGAAATGAGTAGTAGTACTAGAACATGCTTTGATCAATAAGTTAGATGGACTATGGAAAGTTATGCTGAACATGCAAATTTGTAATTTTGAAAGTGTAAACTAGTCAATATAAATCATTAAGTTAAACATGTTAAAATGAAATAAAAAGCGAGATGACGTGGAAGTATTTTGGGTTCCAACAAGTACAACTGGACCACGTGTGGGAACAGCAGAAACTTCGAGTGGGATGATCAAAAGCGTCAGAATCTGATTGAACTCATACATATGATATGTTTCATTGCATTCACGTGCATACCTTCTTAGCCACAACTCTTCCCCCAATTTAGCTTGTCTTTTCTCAGTAACTCTACTGAAAGGTTTTATGGTTTGGCCTCGAGTTTACATTTATTGTAGACTATTGCTTTTTGGGTCTCCACAACTTTCAGTTATGCAAATGCTTTTCAGTAATTTCACAAGAAAATAATGAGCTATTGATATTTCCAAGAGATGACAGGTTGAAAGTTGTTTCCCCAACTTGTGTAACGAATCTATGGACAAGAATGTTCTGAAAAAGGAAAGGTGGTTAACTTACAAATTCGAGCTCACAAGTGCCTTGACTTTGTTGTGCTTCTTGATTCATAACCAAGCTTGTTGAAGTCCAGTTTAGGAGATAAGCTTTTTTTGACAAAAACACAGCAAAGAAAACAAATAAATATTTTAGAGATTATTTCATCAATCACCAGAAACTATAGAAGATAGTAAAGACTTTGAAAGGTCTTTGAGAGGTGCGCACAGACCGCTAGCATGAGAGCCAGACCCTGAATATCTGACAGAGATGATAGCTTAGACAAATTTTTCCACGGATTTCTATGCAACTTTTTTAGCACAAGCATTCTCACTCCACAAAGAGATCAGAGCTTGCGCCTACGGCTTCCGTGCGAGAACTAGAATATGGTTCTTCTAGTTTCTTACCAAGCTGTAACCGGGGATTAATTTGTTGTCTGACTCGAAGGAGCATTCATATTTGTTGAATTGTCCTCATGAGTAGTGCTTGGAGACTGCTCTATTTGGCTTAAAGACATTGGTGATATCCCTAGTGAAGAACATCGCTATAGTCTCAACATTATCTAGGTAGAGTTTTGAAGATATACAGGAGTAATTGATCCAGAATGCTGTTACTCAACAGTCAACACCAATGAACCAAGCAAGTTCCAAATGTAATTAACAGTTAAAAAGGTTAATTAGAATTGATGTCATAGAGCCATAACATATAATTGCAATATAGATTTTACAATTATGAAGCAGATAATTTAGTTCAAATTTTCAAATACTTCTAAAATACACAAACCAATTTACTAAATTTTCTATCAGTTTAGCAACTAACAAGGTAAAGTAAGGTTGTTACTGATTGTTTATAAAAGTAGTATAAGGTTAAAGAAATTCCCTATGATGACACAAAAAATGTTTTTTTTTATCATAAATATAACATAAAATAATTAAAATAACCAAAAATGTTTCATTAAATAGGTAAATAAATATCTAAATTCCTATGATTAATTAATCTGGATTAAGGTTTAGATTTAAGGGGTGAGGTTTTTGATTTTAGAAAAGAAATTAATAATAATTTAAAATATATTTTTTAAAATAGTTTCAAAATGAAATTTTGAATCTTAAAATTAAAAACGACCGACAGTAGCTTATGTTCGTGGTGATAAAGTACAGTATTAGACAGTGTTTTGAAACCCGACCCGGACCCGCGGTTGAACCGGTAAACTCGGTGACCCAAAATAAATCCGATTCGGGTTTTGTTAAAAACCCAAAATTCAAAAACCCGCAAAAACTCGGAAAAACCCACTAAAACCCAAAACCCGATATCGGTTAAACCAGTGGTTGAACCAATAAATAAATTTTTACTTTTTTTTGTAGTTTTTAACCTTTAAATTATGTTTTTAGTACTCTGTTTTATATTCAAAAATTCAAAATTAAAAGTTGTCATTCACGTTTTGGACATTAGTTGCCGTCTTCTTTTTTTCTCTACTCACTTCTGCAAATCCGCTTTGTATATCCTTGCTCTTGTTCTTCTTTTTGGTTTTTGATTGTTTTGTTTATCATAAATCTGTCATACTACATGTTATAAGTTCTATTATCTATGTTTTAGATGTCTTTATTATATCTTGATTTGTTTTAGATGTCATTTCACTTAACTTGTTATAAAAAAAAAGTTTAAACTAGTTTTTGATATTTTGTATATTTATACATTTTATGTTCTAAAAATAGTTAGAAAATATTTAACTTTAATTTATATATTTTTATTTGCATAGCTAATATATTATTAATTATTATATAATAATTAATAAAGTTTCATTTATTAATCTACGGTTCATCCGCGGCCGACCCAGTAACCCAGTGACCCGGTAAGTCGTCCGGTTCACTGTCCGGGTCGGATTTAAAAACATTGGTATTGGAGAATGAATCGTTATTAAAAAATCCCAATTAATATTTAGTTTCTAGTGTATGAAAATGGTACTACGGTTGAATAATAAAAGAGTTGATCAAAGAATGTTGACCAAAAAAAAACAAATATTTGTTCAAAAAATTTTGTTCAAAAAAAAAAAAAAAAAAAAAAAAACAAATAAATCAATTAAAAAGGGTATCTCCTTATCTCTTACCTCAACGGGAGATTCTGCTTTTCCCAAGGTAGAGACAAAAATAAGAACGCAGTCCACTCCACACACAGTCCAGTCAAGCCAGAAAAAGAGAGAGAAAAAGAGAGAGAGAGAGAGAGAGAAACAAACGATTTGATTTCGAATTTCAAATCCTCCAACTGTTTCGATCCTAATCATGCCGCCTGGCGCGAAGAAGAGAAAGGCGTTGAAGAAGAAGCAGCAGCAACAACAACATCAACCGATTGGAACAAGTACGAACAACAATAATAATGGCGATAATCTCCACGGTACTTTTCTCCCACTCCCGCCTCGTTTCTGGATTCGTTCTAGCTAGGTCGACTCGATAGAATGGATTTTAGTATAGTATCGAGCTAGTTATCGCGTCGAGTTAGCTATTTTTGATTGATCTCGTAGTAACTTGTTGTTGTTTTAGATTCTTTGATCATCGGTTTCGAGCTTTAAATTCATGATTTGAGCTATAGAAATTGTTGAACTGATGATGAAGAACACACCGGCCAGGAATCGAATAGCATTTTGTAACCAAAGTGCTTAGTCCCTTTTTTTATTCATTATGACTAGTTTATGTTTGATTTTTGAATTTTAACAAATATAATATCTCAGGAGGAAATGAGGAACATGGAGGAAGCCAAGATGATAGGGAAAGTGATAGCAATTTGAGTTCCCCTGGCTCTCAAGGAAATGAACAATTTGGTGGAACACAAGATCCATCTGCTGCTGCTTTGGTGAAGGACACTGCTAAAGAGATATCAGAGGTTACTCAGGGATTAGGACCAAATAGTGGAAATGGTTCTGTAGTTGAAATAGGAATCGATGAGAAGAAAACTATTGTGGAGAACAGTGGGAATGTTATTGCAGTTGAAAGAGGAACGGATGACAAGAGATTTATTGTGGAGAAATCTCCCATTTCCTCTTATGAAAACTGTACTCAGACCGCCAAAAACGCAGCTTCTCTGGATCCTTGTCTTGAGGAGATCACTCATGTTGTTGAGTCTGTCTCGGAAGTAGTGATTTCTGAAAAGAATGAGCATGCTGAGACGTCAACACACTCGATGAAGTCCGGTGCAACTAAAGAGTATCCATCTACGGGACTGGAAAAAGAGAATGGTAAGTTGGCTACTCGTCCTGGCTCTGCTACTGGAACAAGCAGAAAGGTAGAGAGTGAATCTGAAGTTCCACTATCCTCTGAGGAAAAGGTAGCATCTTTTTATATTCTTGCATCATGTATATGTGAATTCCTCTCTTTTCAGTTGACTTAATCTCCTCTCATGTATGCAGCGTCTTTTGTTGCCTGGTCCTCCAGCCGTCCGAACTTCGTGGTTAAGTTGCTGTGGTTTGTTTGATGCGATGACCGGATCTGACAGATAAACGCAGGTTCGTCCCCTGATTTTGATTCTTGCTAGATGATCTTCTATGACCTACAATATGTCCTCTTATAGTGATGATGTCCTTGGATTCCTTTATATATATATGAAACTACTTCATTTAGTCTTGTAACCATCTAAATGGTCTAGCAAGAGGGTTAGTGGCTCTTAAGTAGATAGTTAATACTTAATACCGAGAGACTTGGGTGTAGTACAACTAGATTATCGTCTTGCAGAAATCTGATATTCATATTGTGTCCTTGTCTTTCACATCAGTTTGTTTTTCAGAACTTGGATTGCATTTATATGATAAAATATGAAACCTCAAGTTTAGTTTCTGCTTTTTCTTGTTTGCAGTTTTCGGTACCTATTAGCAACTTAGATGTTGTTTGTTTGGGAGTCACAGAATCTTGTAAAAATATCAGTTAAGGATCGATTCTTTTAGTTACTCTCCCTCACAGATCAAATCGTTTTGTTATCCCTGCGTGAATCTTTAACAATTATGTTAAACCCGTCTCATTAACATGTCTTCTCTCTGCAGTGTGCTGCAGCAGAGCAGGAGTTACATAAAAATGGACGCACATGGCAGACAGAGCTCAAAGACAACAACGGATTCATGGTCGGTACACTCTTCTCTGTACATTATCTTTGATAGATCATAATGAGAACAGCTTTTAGCAACATATAAACAAGATCAACTTCCTTAATAGAGTTAAATTTCATTTTCTTCCTTTCAAATACATTCTTCATTTGTTCATTAAATGCGTTTTGGATTCATGAGACTAAATATTCCTCTATTTTGTCCTTATAAATTACCATAGTTATCGTTTATCTTCTCTATGTAGTTCTTTAGATAGTCGTAGAAGCGTGATCTATCTCAAGCGTCAAAGATTGATTTTATTCCATGAACACAAAGTGACACACACACAAAACAAGATCTGATACTTTTGTACACAAAGAATACATGAATTTAACTCAAGCTTTTGCTCAACTTCCTTTAAAATAAAAATCACACAAACACTCACACACTCAACCCCTAGTTTCAGGATGATTGACTTGAAAAGTAGAAAGACCCCATGATTCCTTAAGTAGGTCTCCTGACGCCGTGAACAGCGGCGATGTAAAGAAGCTGTGTGACTGAGAGTATGATCAAGAACGCCTCCATGGTTCTCTACATAGAAGAAACGAACACGAAGCCAATAATTATGTTTTTGTTCAAAATTGAATCTATATTAAGATTTGCGAATAGAGAAAATTCGTACCAGTTTTGCATTTCGCACGTGAAGCTCGATTTCTTTCCAGGCGAATCTGTTGATGAAAGAATGATTATTAGTCTTACCATCAATGTCCCAAAACATTGATGTGTTTGCTTGTGAAACGAAAGAGGCTAATATAGCTAATATATATACCCCATGGCAAGGACTGTGAGGGTCCATGCAATAGTTGCAGCTGCTGCAGCAGAAGGTAAGCTTCCTTGGGACCAAGAACGAATGTGGCTAAGACCTGAGATTGTGGAAGCCGCACCAACTACTCCCGCCAACAACGCGAACACCACAAAGAATCCTGTGGCTGCGTTTCCCATCGGGAAAAAAATCGGGGAGAAATGTGCTGGTAGCTTCAGATCAGGGCCTGCTCAAAATTTGTTTCCAAAAGAACCCAACATATTATAAGCTAAAGAACAACACATTTAAGTTACATGCCAAAAGCAATTTCGGTGTTTTACCGATTTCGAATCCGTGGTCGATGGCTCGGTTCATGGCCCATCCTCCAATCCCTAGAATAATCACATACATGCAGAAGTTGAGCACCAGAAGTAGAGAAGCAACTGATTTCATTTGCTCACCCGCCATTTCGCCTTTTGTAAAACTACAAAACTTGGAGAAGAAAGAAAAAATACAACTGAGGAAACTTAAGTTTGTTGTTATGTTTGGAACGAGACATACTTTATATACTAACTCGCATTGTTCTTTTCTTGTTAAGGCTGTTGGTAACAAAAGAAAGGTTTATTAGAGAGTTGTAAAGTTGATAGCTTGACATTTAAGGCAAATTTTATAAAACCCAAGATTCTTGGCTTTGCTCTTTGTACATGTAAAAGGTATTGTCCAATTTTCAAGAGTTTTTTTTTTTAAGATGTTCTTACAGATGAGAAAAGCTAAGATTCCTTGGCAGGTTAATGTCTCCTTATTATTTGCATATTTATCCAATTGAGACATTGTACTTATTCTTAAACATGTAGCCCCAATCTATATAATATTATTTGAGAAGTCACTTTCTTAGGTGTCGCACTCACGTTAACTCTTACGCTGGTTGATTATTATGATACCCCTAATGAATTAAAAATATATTTAAATATTATTTTTTCCTTTTTAAAATCTTCCAAATAACAATATAAAACAATAAGGAAATAGTTATAAAATTTCCAAAACTACTTAAAAACGAAAAAAATATATATAATATGGTTTCATAAAAAAGGAATATTTACAAAATAGTAATATTTAACATAAATATATTTTTAAATAACATAAATTATACTTTTTAAGTAATTATACTTTATATATATATATATCTTCTTAGATGAAAAAAAATATTTGTATATAATGTGTTTTCATAAAAAAAGTTCATACAAATAATCTTGATATTAGAAAAAGAAATATGTTTTCTTTAAAAAATAATTTAAACAATAAAATATATTTTTTCAAAGTAATTAGTTTTGTATATATCTATCTATTTTATTAGATGATTATATAAAATAATTAAGTAACATAAACTGATATATGTTTAATTGAAAAAAAATTATAATTAGTAAATTTATTTGATTATAATATCTTACAGTTACAGCAAAAAAATATAAATTATATTTTACTTATAGAATATAATTTCTCAAAAACAATCACATTTTTACTGCATATTTTAAGAGATATTAAAAAAAAATTTAATAATAAACATCTTTTGATCAAATAACTAATTTTTTTTAAAAATATCATAACACTATATAATTTAACGAGGTAGATATATTATATTTTAATAGTTAAAATCTTCTATTTTCTTAATAACTCTTTTGATGTTTGATTTTCTGTTTTTATGTTTGTGGAATTTAATATAACCATAATCAAAATACTTAAGCAAATCAGAATTCCTTATTTTAAAAATTATTTAAAATAAATTTCAGTTTACCATCCAATCAATCTAAGACATAAATTATTTAAAATTTATAAAATATTTAATTATTCTAGATATTGATATGTGTTCATAAGCTTCCAAAAATTTATTATTACTTATGTATGTACTTTAGAATCAGACACTTTAGTTTTTATTTTTATTCGTTCTAAGCACAAAAAATCTTAAAATACATAATCTTACTAAGATATACTTATATTTTTAAGATAACAACCAACATAAATTTAAATAAAACAATTAATCAAAAATTTAAGATATTTAGAATTAAAAAGATTATAGTTGAATTTAGAGAAATAGATAGAATCCAATATATATATATATATATATCCAAATGATAAAACTGAGTAAATATAATATATCTAAAATTATATATAACTAAAATAATATAATATTATTAATATAAATTATATATAAAACTATGAATTAATATAAAAGTTAAAGTAAATATCAATCAACTATAATAATATATTTATTTTATAAATATTTATGCCCGTGTATGAGTACCGGGAAATCACCTAGTAACCATGGAAAAGAAAAGATCCCATAACCATGAGAATTTTCAGAAACGGGTTCAATAATAACAAACCGAATTGAACAGGGACGGGTTCAATAATAACAAACCGAATTGAACCGGTCCGTGTTTAGCAGCGGCTCACACCACATAAGCTTAACCACTTAAACCCTACAACTAGCTTCTATATAATGGCAAAACCCTAAGCTCTTTAACATCAGCAGAGTCTCGACAGCCTCAAAATCAAAATCCCTAAATTTCATCGTATTTACCAATTTTACTTTCTGTGTTTATTGTTTACCTCAGTCTTGTTTGATTATCTCCATCTGTTCTATGGCTTTCAACGAAAGTGATGATAAGTTATTGTCGCCCCAGTCTTACTTAAAACATGGTGATTGACTATTTTCTGTCTGATTCTCAAAGCTTTAATCTTGTAATGTTAACTAGGTCTGTAGCTAGATGTCTTTTGTGGATCTTCTGTGTTTTGATTCGATTTGGTATTGATGAAAGTGATGATATGTAATTGTCGCCCCAGTCTTACTTAAAACATGGTGATTGACTATTTCTGTCTGATTCTCTAAGATTTCCGTCTTGTTATGTTAGCTATAGTTCTGTCTTTATGAGCATAGTGTATGGATGTGATGAAATGGCATAAAATGTTTTGTGACACCCAGTCTGATCTGCTTCTGCAGAGTGAGTGATTTGCCATATTCTCTGATCCTTATATCTATTGATACAATCACTTTTTGTGAAGTTCTGTTTGTTTTTTTATAGTTTTTGGGTATTTTGAAATCAGAGGAATGAGGATTATATTTACCATACGTCTGCAAATCTGAATTACAGTGTTGATTCATAGACATGCGCTACCATCTGACCTCTCTTTCATAAAGGTTTTATTAGTTTTTGGTTTTCTATTTGTTCTTTTTTTTTTGTTTCTCTAATGCAATCAATGATGAATAAAATCGTCCATATTTAATGATAATTCAGTGATTATTCAAAACAAGATCACCATCTTTCGGCTGAGATTGCAGTTTTTTACTCTTTTAATTATTGATTTTTTTTTAATTATTGGTAATAAAATGCCTATGGTATCTGATGTCCAACCTTAAAAAAAAGTGGTTGGACATTTCGTTTTTTCAGAGGCAGAAAGTGAAAGAACAGGCCTTTGCGACACAGCTAGCTTATTATCACATAAGCTACTTGTTACTTTTTACCTGTTTATATTCAGTTCATCTTTGTTTTTTATTGTTTCATTTTGTTCGTTAGTTTACCGGTTGAAGAGGAGGTGGTTTGACCGAAGTGGTTTCTTATTTATTAATCTTTACTTAGTTTAACCGATTACCAAGTTGATGTTCATTTTTATAGAATGCATTGCTCGTCTTATCTTAGTATGTAGTGTATGGATATGATGAAATGGCATAAATGTTTTGTGACACCCAGTCTGAACTGCTTTTGCAGAGTGATTGATTTGCCATATTTTCTGATCCATAATCATCCATAGTATTATGTTCTCACTTGTAAAGTTCTGATTTTTTTGTTTTAATTTGTTTGTAGAAATCAGAGGAATGATTATTACTATATACGTCTTCAAATCTGTTAATTATTATTACCTAAAGATTTTCTTGTTTTCTGTTCAGAACCTGCTTTTATTGGGTTAATGCAATCAATGATGAATAAAATCGTCCATATTTAATGATAATCCAGTGATTATTCAACTCTAGATCACCATCTTTCGACTGAGATTGCAGATTACTCTTAATCCTCCATTTTTTTTGCCACACAATTTGTTTCTTCTTTCATAAGCCGTTTGCTATTTTGATTCCCTTGCCATATCACAATGGCTTTTTATTGTTACTTGTGCAGGGTCTTTGGATTGTTCTTATGAGATCGTTTTCTTGGACTGGAAGTGCCACCTTCTTTGGGATATGAGCTCACAATTGGTGAAGAACATTGAATTTGCAGTGACAATAATCTTGTAGTTACTTGAACTCGAGTTTATATTGATTGTAACTATTAAAGTTTCTTTCAGTTTATATTGATTGTAACTATTAAAGTTTCTTCAGTTTATGAGATAGTAATCAAGCTTTTGCCCTCACTTGTTATATTGAAAAAAGATAAACGTATTCATGATCTCTGCCAAATTTGGACAGTAAACATTCAGAGCACTGAAATTTTAGTAAATTTCAGTTTGTTGAAAGCAAGTCAAATTTTGTTTTGTATACCAGTATAATCTAACTATAAAACGTATTTACAATCTTTGATGCATAGAGATTCTAAAATACCAGCAACTGTTGTTCTAAAGAACAATTTAAAGAAGAGCATCTAGCACTGGATATTGACATTAACAAAGCCTTTTCTGTATCTCCATCCATCTTTAGCTCCACCAGCTTAACGAGATACTCCATGAAAACAGAATCGAATGGCAACGTTATTGGTCCACCGCTTGGGAGGCCAAACTCTTCTTCAGAGATCTTCAAGAGCTCTTGGAAAACAGAGTTGCTTAGGTACCTTAAAGGAAAAGCAAAGCGCTTTTGATCCGCCGTGTAAACCACAAAACAACCCTTCTCTACAACCGTTGAGCTGCTACTACTTGTTCTGTGGAAAGAGATTCTTCTCCTGTGAAGGGCTGCTCTTTGTTGCCATTTCTTGGCCATCTTGATGAGCTTCTTTGTGTTCATCATGTTTTTTAAGGACAAATGTATTTTAGATCGGAAAGAGAGTAAAGATTTGTGAGTTGTGTTTGTAGAGAGCTCTCTAGATGAAAGTTGTGACTGATGAAGTATAACATAGGCTTGTTTATTTATATAAAAGAAACTACTAGTTTTAGACAGGCTTTGTGATAACCTCTTCAGCAAGCTAACCAGACACAATCACATGCTTCTGTTTCCACTCTATGTGATCATTAGGGTCCCAGGTTGGTAATAAATTCTGTGTTTGCATATCAACTTGTGGACTATACAACTTCCTATGAGAACATGATCATGTGGGCATGAAAGTTATATGTACATTAACGTACAAGAGATGCCAAAAATACCAAACTCATGCTTCTGGACAGCTTTGTTAGTTGGCATAAAGGTTCGAGGTTGGTTACTACATCCACCAGGCATCAGCTAAATAAAATGTGAGTCACAAGAATAATAGGTCAAGCAATTATAAGGGGACAACAAATCTTCTGGTGATATCAAGGACAAGAAAGATGTGGTGTTATTATGATCAATGAGCAGAGAGAATACAAAGAGAGACATGTGCTAGTGAATGTAGGACAAAGAGCATGTAGGTCCTTAGATTTTCTCGCCAACTTATCAACTAGTCCTGCCAAATTTTCATATTTCCTTGAGAAAGATTAAGTTTAGATCAGACAAAATGTCCTGTCTGAATTAGACTTCTTCCCATTCTTGTATAACGTCTGAGATTCATAAGGAAAATTGATGACAGAATGTTTCAGGGTAACTTAGTTTGAGTAAACCAAACAGGTTCAGTGTTATTTGTTTGCAATGAAAGTTGATTTTGATGAGACAGTTTAAAAGAGTGACAAAATAATTGTTTGTATTTCTGAAATAATCTGTTGTCTAATGTAATAGTATAAATGAATCGTTACAGATAAAAATATTGCTACACAATAATTCTCTAATATACAAGCAAATGTTCTTGCTGTTGTAAAGAGCATGGTAAAGAACATCTAGCACTAGATAATGACATTAACAAAGCCCTTTCTGTATCTCCATCCATTCTTCGTTCGATCAATCTGATAAGATACTCCAAGAACACCGAATCAAACGGCAAGGTGATTGGTCCACTGGTTGGGAGGCCAAATTCTTCTTCAGAGATCTTTAAGACCTCTTGGATAACAGAGTTGTTCAGATAACTTAAGGGAAAAGCAAAGCGTGCTTTATCCGCTGTGTAAACCACAAAACAACCCTTCTCTACAGCCGTTGAGGTAGTAGTAGTACTTGATCTTTGGAATGAGATTCTTTTCCTGCTTAAGGCTGCTCTCTGTTGCCATTTCTTGGCCATCTTCATGAGCTTCTTTGGGTTCATCATTATCTTAAGAGGATACGTTTTAGATTGGAATGCAAAAGAGATTTGTAAGTTGTGTTTGTATAACTCTCTGAATGCAAGTTATAGTTGATGAAAGATCCTATAAGCTTGTTGGATTATATAAGGAGAAATTTTTGTTATGTTAGAGCAAGTAGACCAGACAGACCACATGCTTGTGTCTTTGTTGTATGTGATCATAAAGTAACCAATCCTGATTGCTCAACAACTTGTGGATTTTAACATCTGCTGAGAAGACATGACCATGTGGTTATGAATCTTATATAATAGTATTATAAAAAAATTAAACAAGTCTTTTGGTGAATCAGAGACAACAAAATCTGGTTAGAATATAATGATCAGATATGTGCTGATGAAGTAAAGATGAACAGCATTATTTTAATAATTAAGAAAGATCAAGTTCAGATCATACAAACGGCATGCTCTTGTTTCAGTGACATGTCTTTAAGGCATCAGAGTAGATATGTCTTCAAAGGACTTGCAAAAATGGTTTCAGTTAAATGACTCAAAAGAATATTGTTCTCTAGACCTTAGGATGAAATTGTGACAACAAGTGATATTGAAGTAAATCCAGATGAGACAGTCTGAAAGAGAGACAAAATTAGTAGTTGGTATTTTGAAAAAAAATCTGTATATTTAATACATTAGAATCTAATCATCTGAAATACATGTAATATCTTGCGGTCTATTAATATGTTCTTGTTGTGAATGTGGGTTACATTATATATAAGGAGAATCTATTTGCGTTTAGATTAACTTAGATCAACTGAACTAGACAGAACTAAACAGAACACATGCTCTTGTCTTCGTTTTATGAGATCCTAACTGCTCATCAACTTGTGGATTAAAACCTCTACTGAAAAGACATGACCATGTCGATGTGGGTATGAATCTTATATTAATAATATATAGATCAAAAACATGTTCAAGTGGATGAAACATGTAGACCCTTTGACGTTCTAAGAGAAGTTTAATGTTCATTCCTCTAGAACTCAAAGGTTGTTGAAAATTTATCTTGAGGAGATTTACACTTGCAAATTTTCTGAAAAAATTTGCAGACTGTAACTTACGCTGGTTGAGTAGTCTCTTCTTGTTCTAACAAGCACTTTGTATCTTCTTGTAACAGATTAACTAGGCTCAGACTGTAAGCACATCAAACAAGCATTTCATATCTCCTTGTGGCTGTCATAGATTCGTATGGACATTCCATGAAGTGCAGTGAATGCTCCTATTAGCAGCTACACCATTTTTTCAGTAACATTTTGGAGCGGTTGTCAGAAGAAGTGATTTTGGAAAACGTAGATGATATTTTGTTCAAAATGGATCTTCATTTGAATTTTTGTGCGATGGTTTTAAAACAGAGACAAAATAATAGTTTGTATTTCTGAAATTATCTGTCTATTTATTCCATGATACACTCTACAAACACACAGAACTGTCCTAACTCTAGAATACAAACAATTGTTGATTGGTACTACTTTGTTGTTCTTGTTGTTGCAAAGAACAATGTAAAGAGCATCTAGCACTAGAGACTGACATTAAAAAGCCTTCTCTGTATCTCCATCCATTTGTCTTTTGATAAGTTCGATGAGATACTCCAAGAAAACCGAATCAAATGGTAATGTGATTGGTCCACCAGCATGGAGGCCGAACTCTTCCTCAGATATCTTCAATGATCTCTTGGAAAACTGAGTTGCTTAGTAAACCTACTGGAAAAGAAAAACGTGCTTTTCCAGCGGGTGAGTTAGAAGTAATACTTGATCTCTGAAATGAGATTATTTTCCTGTGGAGGGCTGCTCTCTGTTGCCCATTTCTTGGCCAGCTTGAGTAGCTTCTTTGTGTTCAACATTCTTTAAAGAGGATATATTTTCTTAGATCAACAAGAGAAAGCAATTTGTAAAATTGAGTTGTATAACTATTAGAATTCAAGTTGTAGTTGATGAGGAATCACATAGGCTTGTTACATATATATAAAGAGAAAGTAGAACAGTTTAGATAAACTTAGAGCAACCAAACCAAACATGACACATGTTTGTCTTTGTTGTATACTTGTATGTGATCATAAAGGGTCCCAAATTAGTAAATCAGCCATGCACGCTTATCTACTTTTGGATTAAAACATCTGCTGAAAAACATGACCATGTGGTTGTGTGTATGAATCTTAATCAAAATTTTGGATACAAATACCTGTAGAGCTTGTAGTCCCCTTGTTCTTCTTAGGGAAGTTAATACCGTGAACCTGAAAATTTTCAGTGGTTATAGTTCATTCGAACGGTCCTGTAATGTTAATTCTGTCAGAAGAATTTTCTCTTCCAAATGCCAATTAGCCTGTAAGCTTCAAACCGATGGTGTAGCCCTGTAAGACTTTTAAATGAATAAAAAATGTTCATAACTTCATAGAACCCTTAAGGTTCTTGAACTTTGTTGTGATTAATCTGAAACTTTTTAATTGGCTGTCTTAAACAAGTCTAAACTACAAATATTTGCTGACCAGTGACCACTATGTTCTTGTTTTCACAAGCATTTGAAAGATCATCTCTCACTTGGAGTTGAGTAAGTCACTTGTGGGGATGGTACTTCCACCTAAGAATGTGTTATCACTTGTGTGAAGATGAATCCTTCGTATGACTCTAGTAGATTAAGATGTAATGATGAACATCTGTTTCAATTTTTGTAAATAGTATGAAATACACTAGTAACTTTACAAAACACATGTCTCAAAGTCTCGTCTGAAAATACAACTGCTTCGGACACACTATTGTTCTCCAACTATAGCCATTCATCAATCAATTCCATAATTCAGTATTATTAATAACCACAAACCAACGTAGAAGACAGAAGAAACATACAACAAACCACTGAAAACTGAAATTAGAGATACCTCTGAGCATTCCTCTGACAAACACAAGCATTAGAACACGTCAGGATGGAACCGTCCCGGGATTGAACTATTATTCTGCTGCGCTTGTTTCAGATGAAGCGTAAGCGCATAGTTATTCACCTCAAGAGTCCTCAGCTGTTCCTGATACTGAGTAACCATCTGCCTCAGATGCTGCAACTCCTGACTTTGATCTTCACTCTCCTTCTGCCGTTTCTGCTGCGTCACCACCGCTCGTTTAAGCAAACTATTCTCCTGGACAATAGCTTCTAACTGCTGCCTCAGAATCGAGTTCTCCTGCTGGAGACGGCTCTGCATCGCCGCGTCAGCACCAGCACGTGCGTTGATGGACTTCTCCAAAGCTTCTAAGGCTCTTGCAGCACGGTCTTTTGCGTCTTTCATGTCTGAAGCACTCATCATCTCCCTGACAAAGAGGTCAACCCATTCAGTGCCATCCATGTTCAAGACTTCCTCCTTCCCTGATGATCCTCCTCCTTCAACTTTTGCTTCTTCATGGACTAGAGATGATTCTGAGTTATTATTGGTTGATTCTAAACGAAGCTGATTCAAACATCTAATCGCAGAATCAATATCATCTCCACATTCCTCGATTGCCCTCTCAAGTATCTAAACTCATACACACACAAAAAAATCAAGAAAAGTCACAATCTTGCAAAACCCAAAATAAAGTTTCAAACTTTCGAATTCAAAAAATTTACAAAAATCAAGAAAAGTCACAATCTTGCTAACCCGGAAAATAAAGTTTCAAACTTTCGAATTCAAGAAATTAACAAAAATCAAGAAACGTCACAATCTTCCAAAACCCAAAATAAAGTTTCAAACTTTCGAATTCAAGAAGCTTATAAAAATCAAGAAAGTTACAATCTTGCAACCCCAAAAATAAAGTTTGAAACTTTCGATTCAGAAAAGCTTACTTGATTATCCATATCGGGGAAAATCGCGGCGAGGTGATTGAGGAGGAGCGAGGAGGAGGCGGGAGAGGGGAAACGAGGCGGAGCAGAGGAAGAAGAAAAGTAACGGAGTTTCTTGGAGACGGGAGGGGAAGAAGCGGCGGACAAATCCTCGAACAGAGATCTCTTGCTACCGCAAACAATCGCAGACATGTTATCTCTGCTTCCACCTTCTTTTCTTTCTTTCTTCCCTTTCAGATCTCAACCTTTCCTTTTTGTTTGTTTTTTTTTCCCTTTTTTCACTTTTTCGATCTAATCCATCTCTGATCTGTTTCTGTCGGAAACCGAACAATAAAGTCAACACACTTCGGTTCTTTTTCTTTCGCATCTAAATCGATCCAACAACCCCCGACAAAGGATTTAATATGGGCCTGGTGGGCTAACACGAAAGTTAAGAAATGAGGCTACTGGGCCTTGTTAGAGTGTTTCTAGTTAGCTTTAGATGTTTGAACTAAAATTCTTTTTTTTTTTTTTTATGATAAATGAACTAAAACTCTTTCTCAAGATTCAATCATGTATTGCAGTGTTTTTTGCTTAATTGCTTATGAAAAGATGATGACAGAGATACTTCTTACACGAAAGCAAGAACTGACGGGAAGTAGCAGTTCTATTAGGTAGAAATACAAGTGAAATATCTTAATATAAAGGAATCCACTCATATCTCTCTTTTTCTTTATAAATGTAAATGATCAAATTTTTGGAACAACATTAAGTATCTTTTTTATGTAGCTAAAACTTATTTATTTTCATTCATTTCTATTAAATTAGATGAATTTTACATATGCTAAAAATTGATCAATTAGTAAACCGCGGATGAATTTTCTTTTACCAATATTCCTTGGTAACCTATTTTTCTTTTGAATTATTTGTAATGTGTTTGCAACAATAAACTTCCTTAATTGTTTTCCTTTGTTCTTCTATTAGAATGTTTCAGAAATGCATGCAATTGAGTTTAAATAAAATAAAATATTAGAATACTAATTGATGTTTTTTCACCAAGATTTACGGTGTGATTGATTAGCTTAGAGTAATTTAGATAGAGTAAATAAGAGGAATAAAACAGAGTAACTAGAGAAAAAAGATTGAGTAAAATATAATATTAAAATAAGAAAAAGTAAAATTGTTGACTGATAATTTAAAAAGGTGGAACTGAGAGTAATTAGAAAAGTCGAGAAAGAGAAGAAAGATAAAAAAAAAAATTATTCTAGTAGGAGGTAAATATTATTGAATCTATACTTTATTCTGTTTAAACAATATTTAGAGTAAGCAAACAAGAATCTACTTTTACCATTGGTTATTTTTTTAGCGATAACAAGAGTAATAACTGTGTCAATGTAATTGTTCACGCTAAAGATGTCATACAATCACAACCAATATATTTTGTGTATTTCTTCAAAACCTAAGAGGAAACAAAGTAAAGATTATACCTTTAGATATATATATTGGGCGTCACATAAATAAAATAAAATTGAGATTGTTTTCACCTAATTGGTTAAATATAAGTTGAACTAAACGAGATTGTCGCCAATAAATTCTCGCTATGGATAGCAAACAATCACACTCTTAGTTGAAATGGTGATTGTCTTTTCTTGTCATAAAAGGTCATCTTCCCTTTTTATTTCTTTTCTTTTTTATTTAATAATAAAACAAGCTATTAATTTCGAATTGTTGTTATGCAAAAGTCTTCACTAAACCATATTGTATGATTGTTAAAGTCTCTCCACACATTCATAAAAAAAAATTGTTATAAACTTTCAGTTTTGTTTGCCCAAAACTTGATCAAGTTTACATGCAACAACACAAACATAAATAGAAAACAAAAATACATATATTTAATCACTAAATATATTTGCAGGATCCACGACATTTAGTTGTTATGGTCGAATATCAATTCATATCATATACTAAATTCATTATATTCTTAAACTGTTGTGTTTTATATAAATTGCAAATGTTTAAGAATATAATGAATTTGGTATATGATATGAATTGATATTAATATATGACAACTTATTGTTATGGATCCTATAAGTATATTTAGTGGGTTATTAATTGTATAATGCAGTTATACAAAATAATTAATGAATTTATAAAATGATAGACCAAACATTTATCAGTTGGTCATGATTAAGATTTAATAGAAGAGATATATTTATGTTTTCTAAATATAAAATTTATATTAAGATATTTAATTCCAAAATAAATCCACACTTATCAAAATCTAGTTCTTCATTACAAAAAAGAAATCCCAAACTTTTCTATCTATAATAATTCAAATTATTAAAATTACTCTAAATATATTTATTTAATAAAAAGACTAGTGGCAGAGAATGATTAGTGAGAACCAATAACTCTTACTATTTGGTTGCATATGTATGTTTAGTAATGTATGGGGGATAATTACATAGTAATTCATATAACTTTTTTATCTTGAAAACAACACAACAAATATGATTTAGTGTATACGTTATAAATGCATTTTACAACTGAAATCGTTGTATTTTTATCAATATATCAAAATTTAATTTTAATAAAAGAAACTAAATAATCACTTATAATATCATTAACATGCTTACGCAAGATTGTCTTTACAATATTCAGTGAAGAAAACGTTTTCTACTGCTGCAAATCCAAAATGAATAATCAAATTATCTTAACCTGCATACCAAAAAATTATTACAACATAAAAAAAAACATTTAAAGAAACCAAATGATGAAACCAGAGATCTCCATGACAGTTGAAAAATGCAAGTAACCTTCAAAATCATAGTTAATAGATTTTGATATGGGAATGAAAAAAGAAAATCTCAATCTCTCAAACTCACATGATCATCAATATGGACTAAAATGTAAACAATCAAAAATAGGCTCAATGGCTCTTATCAGAGTTTCCCTCAGTAACGTTTTCAACAAGCTAAATATTTTCCTAAAAAAGTCTTTTATAGCTGCTCTTTGTGGTGACCGACGTGGGTTTTTGGTGAAAGAACAATCGTTGAGAAGGAGATTTTTCATTGACTGAAAAAATTAAACTTAGTAATTATTAGGGAATATGGCAATGGGGAAATATTCTCGTGTAGATGGGAAGAAGTCATCGAGCTTTGGCTTAACCATAACCATTGTTTTGATCGTGTCCCTCTCTTTGGTTGGTGCGTGGATGTTCATGTATTCATGGTCTGCACCAACTGAATCTATTCACTTCTCTCCAAGCCAGACTACTACAAAAGATGTGGAAACTACTACTACTACTAAGAGTGATTTCACAAACGAAGAAACTGAGGTTGTGACAGAGAGCAACGAAGAGAAGCCTGAGAAGACAGAGGAAAGAAAGGAGTTTGAAGACAATAATGGTGAAGGGGATAGAAAAAAATAGCGAGGGTGAGAAAGAAAGTGAGGAGACTAAGCAGAAAGAGAAGACACAAGTTGAAGAGAGCTCGGAAGAAAACAAAACTGAAGAGAATAGTGGTGAGTCTGAAAACAACACAGAGAATAAGTCAGAAGAAAACACGGAAGAGAGCACTGAGAAGAGTAAGGATGTGTTCCCAGCTGAGATAACAAAGGATTCCAGCACTGGAAGTGGAGATTGGTCTACCCAATTGGTTGAATCACAGAACGAGAAGAAAGCACAAGTGTCTTCAATCAAATGGAAACTCTGCAATGTCACAGTTGGACCAGACTACATCCCTTGTCTTGACAATTTGCAAGCTATCAGGAAGGTTCATTCCACTAAGCATTATGAACATCGTGAGAGGCATTGTCCTGAGGAAGCTCCAAGCTGCCTTGTGCCTCTTCCTGAAGGGTATAAGCGATCCATTAAGTGGCCTAAGAGCAGGGAAAAGGTAAAAAATAAACTTCAAGATGAACACGAGGCGCAGGTGCAGTTTGCTTTAGAACGTGGTATCCCTGCAATGTCAAATGTCATGGGAACCAAGAGATTGCCTTTTCCAGGATCTGTTTTCGACCTTATCCATTGTGCTCGTTGTAGAGTCCCTTGGCATATTGAAGGTAACAAAGTTTCTCATTTTGTAGTGTAATATAGTATCATTTTTGTTTTGTTTCATCGAATATAACCTTTTGTTTATGTTGTCTGAACTGAAGGTGATAAACTACTTTTGGAACTAAACCGTGCGTTAAGGCCTGGTGGGTTCTTTGTCTGGTCAGCAACTCCAGGAAGACAGAAGAAGATGTTGGCATATGGAAAGGTTTTAAAATATTGTTTTAGATTTTGAATAAGGTCATAGGACTATTTGCAGTTGGTTCTTAACTAACTTGTGAGATGCTCTTTTTCTGATTTTGTAGCTATGTCGAAGCTAACAAAGGCGATGTGCTGGAAGCTGATGACAATTAAGAAAGATGAACTTAATGAAGTTGGCGCGGCCATTTACCAAAAGCCAATGACTAATGAATGCTACAACGAAAGATCTCAAGAAGAGCCACCTCTATGCAAAGACTCTGATGATCAAAATGCCGCTTGGTAATTTTATCGATTCACCTCTATGGAACACTTTGTTGTTAAAGTATGTGTGGTTTGATGTGTAGGAATGTTCCACTTGAGGCATGTATGCACAAAGGTAACAGAAGATTCATCAAAGCGAGGAGCAGTTTGGCCTGAAAAGTGGCTGGAGAGAGCGGAGACTGCTCCTCAGTGGTTGGAATCTCAGGAAGGTGTATATGGTAAACCTGCAAATGAAGATTTCAGAGCAGATCATGAACGTTGGAAAAGTATTGTTTCAAAGTCATACCTAAAGGGTATGGGAATCGATTGGTCTTATGTGAGAAATGTGATGGACATGAGAGCTGTCTATGGAGGGTTTCAGTTTTGCTGCTGCGTTAAAGGATCTGAAGCTATGGGTGATGAATGTAGTTCCTACAGACTCAGCTGATATGCTTCCAATCATGTACGAGCGTGGTTTGTTTGGAATCTACCATGATTGCTGTGAATCATTCATTCATGTACGCTGATCATCTGTTCAGAAATCATGGTGGCGTCATACAGAGGTTGAGACAATTACATCTGCAATAGCCTGATATCAAGGAAACAGTGAAGAGTATGGCTTAATTTAGTTGTATGGTTAAGTCCAATATTTGTCTCGTTTTTTTTTGCATTGAAGAAAATTGTATACAAGACAATTGTCTTAAAATTGTAAACTTCTTATACGTTTTGTTATTTGGTCCAAAACATCCTAATTCTTCTTTATGTTCTTGTTACACTTTACTTTCCTCTGATTTTTTTTTATTTGGTTCGATGAACCATCGGAGGAAAAATT